GGGGGGGGTGGGGGGGGGGGGGGGGGGGGGGGGGGGGGGGGGGGGCGTATCGCTGGACGAGTGCGTTTTCTGAGCACACCATATTGTTTTCGTTTCGGTGAGCAAAAACAACGCCTCTGTCTGCGTGTTTTTGCGTGTGCGTATGCGTGTGTATATCCAGCAAGCGCAGCTCAGACGCTTCCCGCCTTGTTGGAAAAACCGGCGTATTGCACCCCTTCCTCCTGTCTAGTTCCCATGTCCCCTACTTCGCGTGGATGTATGTTCCAAGCACGGGGAGCGCGCTTTTTTTGGAACGAAACGTAAATTGGAGGAGTGTGGAGGAGGTAACAGACACAATGTTTGGGCACGCACGTGAGTACGTCAAGTATAAATGGGTTTTTGATGTTACGGGCGTGTGCAAGTAAGTACAGGCGCGCGTGCTGCGATGCCATTTTTTTTTTTTGCTTCTAGATTGGCTGTCTTTTATGTTGTCCTGCATGCTGTGTGTTGTAGAGCCCACCAGGTTTCCTCACACGCAAGTTTTTTTTTGTTATATCGTCTCTATGCGTAGTGTGTTGTATAAGGCGCGCGGTGAGAGCCTGCCTGTCGATATTGTATTCCGTCGTGGTTTGATCGAGCTGCTATTTGGGCGTGAGGGAGGGAGAGAGTTAATTAGGTGCAATCAACCCATCGGTAAAACAAGCGCGGACGCGCGCGCTGTTGCTCTCACGTTTATGTATTGGTTTCCGATTTCTACATAGTCCGTCTCTGGATTCATTCGAAGCGGTGTTAGTATGTTGTCCCAGCTGCTCAAGCGATGTGCAGTTTTTTTTTCTAGTGAAAAACGTGACCGCAGTGAGCGAACTACACCAACCAGCCAATCAATGTTTCTTTGGAGTATCACGACGTCGATACTACGTGTTGTTGAAATATGTAGTGTGTGTTGAATGCGAAGATGCCGTATTTATTACCAAACTTGCAGGAGTCCTGTACGCAGAAGCGTTTTGATAAAAAAGCTACTTGTCGTCGATAAAATTCCGCGCGCGAAAGATTTCCATTCAGGGTGGTATTTTTGTTTTTTCTCCCATCATTGGACTCTGTCGTCTGCCCATTGACTCCACTTGTACTAGCTAGACGACCCAACCGGGGTCAGATGGGAGGGGAGGACTGGACCCCCTCCTGCGGTTCATACCTGAGGTATTTTTATCGCGAGAAGGGTACAGCACTCCCTTCCCTCGCGACTTACGAAGTCGATTATGGTTTACTAACAACGAGCTTTGCAGCGCGTCGCTTTCATCCTGGACCAGGATTATTTAGTGAGAACACTCACTCTGCCGGGACTCGAACCCATGACCTGGCCCTTAGCAGGCTGCGAGGTTACCCACTAGACCACCGGGGCGTATGTAAAGTATTAGTCGGTTTGGGGGGTGGAGGATGGGCATTATGACAATACAAGTAAAGCTGGTGTCGTATATATTATGTGTGTATTGTGTGTTTTCGTCCTATTTATTATGGCGACAGTCCCCCCATTTTTCGTGGTGAGACGTGTACTACACTTTTCAGTGTTTTTTTTCGTGCAACTGCAACCATACAGGGTCACACAGGAGGAGGGGGTAAACACCAGTGTTTTTTTCTTCTTTTCATTTATTTTCATGCCCCACCTTCCTCCTGCGGTGCGTGCTGAATTTTGTTTTCATCGCGAGAAAAAGGGTCCAGCCGTCCCTTCCCTCGCCAACGGTGCTAACGTCGAAGTTTGGTACTCACGAGAGCTTGTCAGCTTTGTTTTGCTTTCACCCGCACATTTCGTAAAATTTTTACCCCATGGGGATTCGAACTCACGACCTTCGCAACTACCTGGTAGCGGATTACGAGGATACTACTAGACTTTAGACCACCGGGGCGACCGGTTACGTATGATGCATGGCAAACATTTATATTTTGTTGGAAAGCTTGGGTGGGTCGTGAGCTGCCGTTGAATTTATTTTCGTTTTCGACCTCCCGCAAGAAAGGAAGGGTTCGATCAGCGCCCACTGGTCCACGAGGTCGACTTGAATCGTCAAGCAAACACCAAGAAGCTGCGACTTTTATTTTTGTAACTCGTTCGGTTCATTTCTATTTTGAGCGCCCCCCCTTTTTCTTTTTTTCGGGGGTCGCCCAATTAATTTTTGTGTTGTCTGTTTGTTGGAGAAAGTCCCAGTCAGTGTAGGGTCAACATGCATGATGGTTGGAGAAAATTTCACTTTTCTTCTTTTTTAGCGAGAAATGATGCCGCGTTATGTGGGGAAGAGGGCATCATCGGTGATGTTGTGAGTGTGTCGGCCGAAGACTTGGTGCTACAGCGTGCCGAAAAAAGAATATCGTGACTTTTTTCTCATCAGTTTGTTCTGTGGTGGCGCTTAGGAGAAAAAAGGAAGCACATGCTGCGTAGGCTATGCCTCTACGTGCAGGAAGGAGCACTGGACCATTGCACCAGCACATCGATGCGGTGCTCGCCGTTATTTCGGCTGCGTACACCTGGGCCTGCCGCTACACACACACCGGGGGGGGGAGTTTGTTCTTCAGACCGACACTTCTCCAGGACAGTCAACAACATTTCACGTTCCATTGGCGAGGAAGAAGAGAAGATGCATGGGTATGTAGCATCGGATTTCATTTCAACACCAGGTGCAACAGTTCTCCCACAACCCCGACCGCACCAGCTTGCTGCTTGCTGGCGACCAGGACTTAGGTCGTGTAGGCACAGATAGATGCTTCACTAGCCCCTGGTCGAGAACGGGAATCGTTTCCCACTAGCTGCGGCCAAACACGAATCCATCAAATCCACACGTAAAGTACGTACGTACGTACGTGAAAACAACGGAAACAACACATGTAACAATTAACTGTCGTCAGCCCTCCCTTATTATGGAAGGCCACCGCATTTTTTTCTCTTTTGGTGGCGAGGGGCACAGTACACCCTACACGCGTCCAAGCACAATGTACAGAGTGGTCGGGTCGTTTCCGCGGGAATCAAAAGCCGGTACCACACGTCTTGGCATAGCATGAGATTCCTTGAAACTGAAACATACCACAACGCTATCTTTGCCATCAATCGTACAGCATGGTGATGCTCGAACCATTCTCATGTCTTTCTGAATGCAAACTTCATCTGCAGTCAAAGCTTGGCCAAAAAAGAAGCAATTCAGCCCAGTCAGGTGTCAACAAGCTGGTACATACAGCGGTCAAGAAAGCTCGCTTGAATCGACAAAAAAAAAAGTGAACATTACCCCAGGACATGGCTGTGGGACACGATTAGTAAGTGTGCGCCCATCTTCCTCCTACTACTGTAGCGAAAAAACTGCTCCCGCTCCAAACAAAAATCCGCCTGCATCTTCAATTTGCCACCTAAAAACACTCCACAACTTTTGTCCCGCATCGTCAAGAACAGGACGTACACCTCAACAAGAAACATCCCATGGTTTCCAATCCCTAACAACTAATTTTCCTGTGGGCGCATAACGAAAACAGCATCTTGGCCTCGCACAAGTACCTCTACCCCCCCCCCGATAATCACAACAATCAGTAAAACTTAAAGGACACAAAAAGAAAAACAAAAAAAGCCTCCCTCCTCCCCCTCGTCGCGAAAAACAAAAATGCTGTCATGCCATCAGTGGACAGCCGCAAACACAGAAACGCCCGTCGCCAGAAGCACTAACGCTGCCACTGCCAGCTGCTGAGCCCCGGTCAGTATAATCTGCCCGGAGGATGGCAAGCGTTGGCAGACGGAAAGTACCGGAGCGCAAGGGGGGGGGGGGGGGGGGTACCGGTTGAATGCTTGCCTTCGTGGTTTGACGCCATTGACCTTGCGTAAAGGGGCACCGTGTCGACTTCCAGGAGTGTAGGGGGTGCGCTTGAAAATCTCATGGTTGTTTCCTCTCGGGGATTTGTCTCTTTGTCTTGAGGACCGAGCTGAAAAAAAGCCATCGCTCTGCCCAGTCTAAAAAGTAGATTTCGTACAGTGTACATTGCACAGGCTTCGTAAATTTCAAGCCTGGACCAACGGAATACTCCAAGCGTGTTATGCATACAAACCACAATGCAGCAAGGATTACAATGCAGCAAAAACAGCAGTGCCGAAAACGGCGGGAGGCGTTGGGAAAGTCTCGTCTAGGAGCAAATGGAGCGAAGTAAAACGGTCCGGGGTATGTGGTATCTTCCGTATGTATCCAACCTACGGTATTCCGTCACTGTTGTACAGCAGTATGTAGCGAGATACTACGAAATCGCCAATGGTTGATAACTCTGTCTGCCGCTTTCACTCAACGGGAAAAAACAACCGTTCATTACTCAGCGGCAAAAACCAAACGCTTACAACCACGGGGAAAACCGAACGATCTTACTCACCGGGAAAAACCAGCCTCCCGCTTCCTTCTGCCGTTGTTTTCGTGTAGAAACGACGGTGTATGCGGTTGCCAGGCAAGATGCCATGAAAGTTGGAAAACAGGCGGAAGCGTCACGCAGCGTGACGTGTTGGGAAGGAGGTCGCATGTTGATGGTCTCAACACATAAAAAAACGAACTCCCTTGTCGCACTGGAGAGACAAGTGTTTACACGGAGAATTCTCCAGTCGCAGCACCAGAAAAGAGTACATTGTAGCAACGACAACGACAGCTAGCATGAAAAACGCGGGCCTCCTGCTCCACGCTGCCACCCAGAACAAGACGGCCGGATGCGACAACAAACACTGAAAAACAGCCTCAAAATAAGCTCAATTTCCAGTCGGGTTCCCTCCCCTCACTGAAAAGACTTGAGCACATCCCCTCAGACTGATGTCATACCTCGAACGGGTACAGCACTCGTAGGCCCAAGAAGGTGGGTACGCGCCAGACCGATTCACCGACCCTATGCAGGGCACCCGCCCTATTCAATGCATTAATGGTCTTTAATATTCCATCTGTGCCAGCCGATTTCACCCGCCCCGTAGCGGGCACCCGCCTTATAGAGGGCCTACGACTGTAGTATTTCCGTGCATTGAAGTACATTTTCTGCAACCGTCGGAGCGCACTCACATCACTAACCTGGCACGTGGCGGAATGCTCCTGTTTCTGCTCTTCCAGCCTCACCGCGCACTCCGACTCCGCCATGCACTCCCTCCGTTCGGAGCACGGGCAGTCTCGACTGCAACTGATATCTGACGACGTCTTCCCTGCTGCTCTCCCTCTCTCCCCCTCGCTAGGCTTGCACGGCAGCTGGACGGGGGCGGGCGGCTTGGGGCACTCGGTTGGCTTACCGGTCCCGCACTTGGGGCAGTTCTTCATCGCCTCCTTGACCTTCTGGTCCGCGTACTCCTCCATCGAAACCTCCTGCTTGGCGGGTGCGTGTTATCAGTAGTGAGACAGCGTGTGTGACAATGGCCAGAGCACCCTTAACATGACTCCTTAGACAGTCTCCCTTGGACAACTATCCCTTCAACACGTACCTTCCTTAAGCAGAATCTTTCCCAAACCAAGTTTCCCTCATACCGAGTCTCCCTGAACCTGAGTATTTCTATGAACAGAGTCTTCAACATAAAAGAGTGCTCCTTTAAACAAGTCGACGATCGACAAACCGATTCCTTGCACTCACCGTCAAGCGTTGCAAGTCCTCCACCCACGACCTTCTTTCTGGTGCACGCACACAGCACCATATCTACTTTGCCAAAACGCCAAAGCCTTACTCCGTTCATTACCAGGCTGAACGGAACTTTTCGGTTCGGGGCCACGCAGATTGGTTCCCTCCCCCCCTGCACCCGTCAGACCTCTGCCGCATCACATTTACCCGTCTACCATCATACGATCCATTTATCCAGGCCTGTTCTTGCCACAGACCACCTCCATCAGACTCATGTCATCCACACACCTACCACGGCCACACACATTCCTCGGTGCAGCGGGTTGATGCACCGCTTGTTTCGACGGAAGGGTCAACAGAAACTTTTTTTCGGTCTCAGCGAACCTGACAAAGTCCCTACGGCGGTATTGCCACGTTTTACGATACACCCGTATGATGATTTTTAGCTCACACCTTAATCTCGATGGTCCGGGTCTTGGGCAAAGCATAGTTACCCGCTTCGTCAACCGCATTGTACGACACTTTCCACTGCAACGGGTCCTTCTTCGACTGAGAAAATCCGTCGATACACGTATCGGGCAGCAAAAGATAAGATACGGATCGAGCGGGGCAACCGTCGTTGCGTGAGTTACATTGCATCGATATCGCGAAGCAAAGCACACCGTACACCAGTAGCAACGGTAACCATTCCTACGGGAGTACCATAATACCATACTATCATACCCAACGACAATGACAGGACAGAGCATCGTATGCATACGGGAGTGACCACGTGGCCACCACTGACTCACGTACCGAAAATGATCCAATAGCGCCTCCCCCCTCCCCTGCGAGGTCAATGGTCTAACGACCACAAGGCATCCACGACTATGAGTACCCCCCCCCCCCCCCCCCCCCCCCCCCCCCCCCCCCCCCCCCCCCCCCCCCCCCCCCCCCCCCCCCCCCCCCC